CATTACATTTCTTTCGTGAGAATAAAAATTGTTGTACAGTTATCATGAGTGAATTTTAAAGTACCTGGAATGCAGTAGATGCTAAGTAAATTGTAGTAGTAATAAAAATAAGAGTAATAAGTATTATTTCTCTTATTGTTACCATTTTTAATACTTTGTCTTGCTTTATGTTTGCATTATTTCCAAAGTTCATTTTGGTTGATTCTTTATAGGTTAAATGTATTTCTATGAGCTTAGCTATAACACTGGAAATGTCACACTGAATCAGTGGAGACTTTTTTTTTATTCATTTATTTTTTGACGGAGTCTTGCTCTGTCACCCAGGCTGGATGGAATGCAGTGGAGTGATCTCAGCTCACTGCAAGTTCTGCCTCCTGGGTTCACGCCATTCTCCTGCCTCAGCCTCCCGAGTAGCTGGGATTACAGGTGCCTGCTACCATGCCTGGCTAATTTTTTGTATTTTTAGTAGAGACGTGGTTTCACCATGTTGGCTAGGTTGGTCTTGATCTCCTGACCTCGTGATCCGCCCACCTCAGCCTCCCAAAGTGCTAGGATTACAGGCATGAGCCACCACGCCTGGCCCCAGTGCAGACATTATTTTACAATTTCTCCATTTCAGGGTGGCTGTGGAACTCCATGGCCTTCTGCTAATAAATGCCCTAGGCCCCTTTATACATTGATGACATGTATCTGTTCACTACTTCAACAATTTTTCATACCCTCAGATTTCTTCTTATTTTCCAGTCTGCCAAAACTTACTCTTTTAATGCAAATTACTCTAGTCTTAAGGTGGTTTATGGAATAATATATAATATGTTTGTATTCGTTAGTGTTCTGAAATTCAGCCTTAATTTCAAGCTTCTTATTGCTAAGTATTCCAGAGAAGTTATGATGATCCAAGGAATTCAAGTTCTCTGATTCACAGTCAATGGGATTAAGCCTTTCCTCACAGCCTCTCATCTGATTCCCTTGCTGGAAAGTTCCAAGAAAAACACTCTATATTCTTTCTCTTATTCTTCTGTTACTGCAGCTGAAAGTCAATTTTCTTTGTTTTTAAGTTTCTCTTATTTTCCTCTGTTGCAAAAGGCCTCCTTTAAAAAGATCCATATCCATACCCTGAAGAGAACAACTCTGGGAGCAGAATTAGAGCAGTCAACTGTTGTGGCCAGATGTCACCTGCTTAGGAGTCCCCAAAGATTTTTTTGTTTTTTAAAATTATGAACAATAATTTTTTTGTTTTTTAAAATTATAAACAATAATTTTTTTGTTTTTTAAAATTATAAACAATAATAGTGTCTTTAAATCTTATTCCATGAACGATGGTAAAACCCAGTGTCACTCTCAATGTCTCCAGACATTTCTTGGAAGATGCAAGTGAATACGAGGGAAGGGGAGCCACTGGGACTTCTATCGTGTGGAGTGGTCTCAAGCTCTGATTTTCTGCGTCTATTGAATTCTTAGTTTTCTCTGCATGTCTAGGCTTCTGTCTGTGTTGACTGTTTTTCTCACTGCACTGTCCTGTTGGTTTTCATCCTGCTTCTTCACTACTCTGAAGTAGTACTAGTACAATCTTGCATGTATAGCATACTTTAAAAATAAGATTAGAAGACTATTCTACAGAACCTACAAAGGCAGCACCAGGGATTTCCTACAGTATCTTCTGACATACACACTCTAATTACTAATTTCGGACTTACACATAGGTATTAGATATTCCCTTTGTGACTACCTAGGAATTTTATGTTTAAGAACAAAAAGATTCTTTGTTTCACTGTGGTCAGATGGGATTTTTATGCCCTCACTCCCTTTCCCAATTTGCAAGAAGAAAACGTGTATATTATGGTAATATACACTACTATCCAGTTATAGAAACCACATACACACACACACACACACACAATCTTTTCCCTCTCATTCTCTAATCATGTAACCTAAGGCATGTTTATATTATAGTATTAAGTATTGTTAACTTTACATCATATGATTTAAATCATAGAAGTTGCTAGACAGTAAGGAGAAGAGTAAACATCATTCACAGACTTTACCCTTCTTCTGAGAAGAGGTTGGTACATTTACAGTTGTATGCATGACAGTTGTAACATATAATGAAGAATTATGACCTTTTAGTCTTTATTTGGAGATTAAGTATGGCTTAAGGAGATGCATATGAGTGTGAGGTTGACAAGGGATGGCCTTTTGATGGTTAATTGTATGCATCATCTTGATTGAACCATAGGTGCCCAGATTTTTGGTTAAACTTTATTCTGAGTGTGTCTATGAGGATGTGTCTGGATGAGGTTAACATTTACATTGGTAGACTGAATGGATGGCTTCATTTAATCTCTCATTCTTCTGTTACTGCAACTGAAAGTCAATTTTCTTTGTTTTTAAGTTTCTCTTATTTTTCTCTTTTGTTAAAGCTCTCCTTTAAAAAAAAATCCATATCCATCCTCTGGAGAGAACAATTCTGGGAGCAGAGTTAGTGCAGTCAACTGTTGTGGCCAGATGTCACCTGCTTAGGAGTCTCCAGATCCTCTAGTTTTCTTTTTTTTTTTTAAATTATAAATAATAATAGTGTCTTTAAATCTTATTCCACGAATGGTGGTAAAACCCAGTGTCACTTCCAATGTCTCCAATAAGGGCCTAAGTAAAAGCAAAGCCTGAGCAAGAGAAAATTTGCTTTCTCTGCCTGTCTTTGAGCTGGGACACTGGACTTTTCCTATCTTCGGACTAAGACTTGAACTGGAATTTAAACTCTTGGTTCTGAGGCCTTTGGACTTAGACTGGAACTATACCATCAGCTCTCCTGGGTCTCCAGCTTTCGGATCTTGGGACTTCTCAGCCTTATAATCATGTGAGCCAATTCCTCATCTATCTATCTATCTATCTATCTATCTATCTATCTATCTATCTATCAATCAATCTATCTATCTATCAATCATCTATCTTCTATCTATCTTCTATATGTCTATCTGTATCTGTCTGTCTATCTATCTAATCCTCTTGGTTCTGTTTCTCTGGAGGACCCTGATTAATACACCACACTAGAAAGAACTGACTATGCCCCTTACTCTTGCTCCAACCTGTGCCTCTTGCTCTGTTTTGTTGATGGTAATGATGTCTCAGCCAGCTAATCTTTTAAGCTAGAGAAGATGGTTTATTCTTCATTTTGCTCAATTCTACACCTCTAGTTCCTGTCCCATCATGACAATTTTACTCTTGAGTTATCGTTTTAGTCTCTACTCTTCTATACATCCCTAGATCACTTAGTATCTCTTTCTTCACTATATCAAGACCTAATTGACTCCCTGCCTCCATCTTTCTTTCTCCAATTCATCCTCCACACTGCAGCCACAGTAATCTCTTTAAAATACCACTCAGTTATTTCCCACTTTAAAAGTCAAACGTGTTTCTAAGAAATTAGGAAAACATTGATTTTTAAAATTATGTGTATTTTTCCATGTGTACTATTTATGGGAGCCCACAGTCTTTCCTGATTGTGGTTATATTCAATGAGAAAAGGAGCACAGAAATTTAAGGTTATTAATCGATTTATCTTAAAATAGGTTATCTTGAATTATTCGAGTAAGTCCAGTGTAATAAAATGACTCCTTAAAACCAGATACAGGAGAGGGAGTCAGATTTGGGTTTGAGAAGACTTGACAAACTGTTACTGGGTTGAAGATGGAAGGGATCACATGAGAAGGAACGCAGGAGCAGTTCTCAGCTGACAGCCAGCAAGGAAATGGGAACCTCAGTCCTGCAGTCACAAGGACTGGATTCTTCTAACAATGGATGAACTTTGAAGAGGAGCCCAACCCCAGAACCACTGCCCTGGCCAGTCCTCTGATTTTAGCCATGTGATATTCTGAACAAATAATTTAACCAAACTTTCCTGGGCTTCTGAACTGAGAGATAATAAGCTTATTGTTTTAAGCAGCTACCTTTGTGGCAATTTGTTATGTAGCAGTAGGTAACTAACACAAGGAGATACCAGTAAGATTCCTGCTATTTTGAGCAAGATTTGACTTTTTTTGTGCCTTAAAGACTCTATTACTCACCTTAGACTACCTTCTAGCCAAACAGCTCCATGCATTCCTTGCCCTAATACGGGTTTTTCTTTTAAACCACAATCCAGTTGAATATTCAAATTGGAAGTAATCTACACCATGATTTATGGACCAGGCTCCATTCGCTAGAGACTCAAGATCTTGTGGATCCTAGATTCTCTACATCTGGCCAGTGCACAAGGGAAAAAAAATATTGTAGAAATAATGCTGGCAATTTTAGGAGTCAAACTTTATATGATTAGGCTTGGAAGATTGAGGTAACTGATAGCTTTTGATAACACATGATTAGGCTTGAAAGATTGAGGTAACTGATAGCTTTTGATAACACAATTTCCTTTGATGACAGAGGATGAAATTATGTATCATAAGGGTTGAGAAATTAGAATCAGTAAATGCAGGCATAAAGAAGGGAGCTGAAGCTTCACTCAATACAATACATTATGTCATATTTTCTATTATGACATCTGCATCTCTGTTCTTCCCTAATTTCTACTTTCCTATCTCTAGATATCTCTTAATCCCTCCCACTCCATCTGTCACATTCTGTATTCATTGCCACATTCTACCTCATTAACAATTGAACAAACTCAGTCCATATATCCTCAACATAGATATAAGGAGTGAGAGTAAATAAGAGGATTGGAAACAGCAAGACAGGGAAATGGGAGAAATTGTTGTTTCTTGCTGACTCTTTTGGTTCATGAACCCTTAGAGAGCCTTCACAGACTTGCCTGTGGTTGATTTTCTGAACTCCTATAATGCCAAAAGGGGGAGATGAAAAATACTAGCATCACACCAAAGTAGGGCCATTAGATATTAAGTTATAAGATAAAATCGTGATTATAAACCAAAGCACTAACTTTGATGACAAGGAGTATACATGTGAATTATTTCTTCACATACATAAAGTGATGGTACAGTGTTAACATTTGGTTTGTTGTCATTTTATTTTAAGTAAGAACAAATTGAGTGCTCAGCATGCCCTTCATTTTTTTGTAAGCTAATTAGGTAGCAACCACAACTGAGTATGCAGGTTGGAGGTGACAATATTGTTTTTTCCTAATTTAATTCCATTAACGGGGGCAGTGAGGCACTTGGGTAGATTCTGCATGTTAGTCAGAGTCTTCAGATTGCTGTTGCTCTTTTGGATCACATGAAGTAGAAGTTACATTCACATCTTCTTTATATGAATTTGAGGAAGCTGAAGTGTTTGGCTGCACATCTTGTTCTGAATCTAGATGGGACAAATAGCCTATACACGTGTCTTGTACTGAGCTTTGGCCAGAAGAAGAATGAAAATCTGGCTTCACGTTTTCTGATTGCAGGTCTCCTGAGGCTTGCCCTGTACATTTCATGTCCCCTGGTTTGATGTCTCTAGTATATATATCTCCTTTCTGTGTAACTCTGGATTGAAGGTCTTCTTGGTGTTTATCTTGACTGGCTTGACATTCTAGGTTATGTTGGGCTGTTGTGTGCTGGGTTTGGACTTCTCGGTATAGAGCTATCTGCTTTAGGGCTTCTTTCTCTAATAGATCCTGTGTTTGCCAGGGCTGCATTTCAAATTGCCATTCTCTTGCTTTATAATCTTTGTTTCTCCAGCCTTGAGTTATCCATTCAGGGGATTCTTGGCCAAAAGATTGACAGTCTTGGGTTGTCCAGTCTGGAGACTGCCTTTGTGGGGATTGCCAGTATTGGTATTGCTGTATTTGGGATTCTGAATCTTGGCATAACAGTTTTGGCACTTTCTCCACCTGAGCTTGCTGTCCTTCGGCTCGAACATTTTGGGATTGTCCTTTCAGGGATTTCTTCTCTTGGGTCTGCTGGTCTTCAGTTTGCTGATCCTGGATTTGCTTCTTTGAGGGTTGCTCCTCATCAGTCTGCTGGTCTTTAACTTGTCCATCTTTAGATTGTCCTTCTGGGTATTGTTCCCCTTTGGCCTGCTGATCTTCAGCTTGTTGATCTGGGAGTTGCTCTGTAGTTTGATTAAGTTGAACTTGCTTATCTATGGAGTGCCTCTTTGGGGATAGCCAGTCTTTGATTTGCTGGTCTAAGGATTTCCGCTTTGGAGATTGCCAGCCTTTGCTTTGCTGATCTAAGGAATGCCTCTTTGAGGATTTATGGCCTTTGGTTTGCATGTCTAAAGAATATCTCCTTAAGTATTGCAAGGCTTTGGTTTGTTGGTTTAAGGAATGCCGTCTTGAGGATTTTCTTCTATGGAGTTCCTCCTCAGATTTCCATTCTTTGGTCTCTTCCGTAACTTCTGATCTAATATCTTGATATGACATTTGTAAAATTTGCTGGTTTTGAGGTTCAGTGTTTTCTGGTTGAAGATCTGGGGGCTGCTGAAGTAGCTGTTGTATTTTAGGGAACTGCACAATATGGGGTGTTGAGGCTTCAGGTACTATGACATGTGCTGATAGAGCTTGGGATAGCATATCTTGGGAAGGTGTGTCTTGGGGTGGCATGTTGTGGGATGATGTGTCTTGAGATAGCATATCTAGGGATTTTATGTCTTGGGATGTCAGGTCAGGCAACAGCATATCTTGAGGTGGTGTGTCTTGGGATAGTATGCCTTGAGGGGACAGGTCATTAGCTGTCAGATTATAAGACTGCTTGTCATGGGATGTTGTAGACCTAGATGGCATGGATTGTTCTGACAGGCCTTCTACTGGTAGAGCTTGGGATGGCAAGTCTTCAGGTGGTAGATCTTCGAGTTTTAGTATAGAATGGGATAGAAAAACTTGGAGTGACACAGCTTGGTCCTGCGGAAACTGGGTTTGCATTTGGGAAGGTTGTACAATAGCAGATTGTAGATCTTCATCTTTCATTTGTTTAAATGTAGAGTCTTGCTGAATGGGCATATTTTCTGAGGGCTTTTCCTCTAATGTAGGAGGCAAAGGTTTTAATGCAATTTCTTCCTCTGAAAATTTGGGAGATGGAAGGATACTTTGCTTTTGTTCATCTGGCACAAATTCCGTACCTTTATTACCTGGTTGGGAGACTAAAGGGCTTCTAGAGAGTCTTAACTTGAAGAAAGCATAGCCTCCAAAGAAAACAGAGTGTGCATATGTTGTTGAATCATCACTGGAAAACTCTTCTTGAAGCACAAATTGTAATTGAGCATTTTCTTCTGGGGCAGGTTGTTCACTATTTTGAGTAACATCCGAAGGCAAGAAAAACAGAACCTATAAAACCAAGGATGAGGGTAATTAATATGACAGAATCATGTCTGATTTTTTTTTCCAAGTTACTTTTCATCTCTGACTTAAGACAGTAGATAGGAAATAACATCTAAATGAGAAGGCAGAAAACAAATGCCAGCCCTGCCTTTACCATCAACTTATTGGTATTATTTTAGAAAAGTCATCACCTTTTAGTTTTTCAAATATTAAACAGAGGAATTTGATTAAGATTGCCTCAAAAATTCCTCCCATACTTAATATTATAAAGCTTCTGAGACATTTTATATCATCTAGTCAATATTCATATATTCATGCTTAATCTGTAATGGTTTATTGATCACCTAGATGAACTAAATGCTGGGAATCAAAGACAGTTATATGTGGGTTTTTCCCTTAAGGTGCTCACAATTATCTGTACATCAACATATAAATAGATAATAGTAATACAATTTAGCAAATGCAATTATATAAATAGATACTTAGTGCTTTATGGAAACATAGAAGATGACCTGATTCTGAGACAACCTGGAAATGCTTTACAGAAGAGGCAATATTTAATCTATATCTTAACAGCTGAGTAGTAATTACTCAGGCATAGACAGTAAGATGAAATAAGACAGGAGTCAGAATCCAGGTAGAAGCAGCAGTGGAATAGCGGGTACAAAAACAAGATTGTGATACAGCATGGTGGGATGGCAGAGGGTAAACAGTTAGATATTGCTGATATTATTAGATGGTATGCTAGGCTAGGAAATTTGGACTTTCCTTTACAAATAAGAGAAAGCTATTGGAGTTTTTTAAACAGCTAAGTGACAGCATCTGATACAACCTGCAATGCTTTCCATTAGTTCTCATGTTGTTATTATAATTTTTAGGAGGTTGTTACTGAAGCACAACCTACTGCTTTTTATTCTGACTCCATGAATTACACCTTTCTGAGGTAATTCATAGAGTCAGAATAGACTACTTGTTCTATTTGATGAAGTGGATCAGAACTCAGTGATTAAATGAATGAATTATGCTTACCTCGTTGGCTAATAGCAGGCCTAGATTGAGAATCTACACATTCTCTTACATAATACATTGTATTTCCCACTCTCCTAATTAGTTTTTCACACCTATATTTCATCTCTATTGAAGGACTATTTATGTGAGTATAAATGGTACTTTGGAAGAGATTTCTATATTTCTAAGAATCCTCAAACTTTTGTTTCATGTGAATTTTAATTTATTCTTTCATTTAAAAAGAGGTTTGGAAGAATGAATTATAGTTTCTCTGTTTATTCAAGCTCTTAAGTGCTATGATTTTAAATTTCCTCATCATTAATGAGAACTCATTGAGAACTCATTGATTACCAGATGCTAGACAAAGTTCCAAAGTCATCCCAAAGAATTGGTATGACATCCCTATAAAGTTATTATCCTTCTTTTAGAATTGAGGCAACTGAGGTTCAGAGATGTTAAATAACCAGACCAGTATCATAGAGCTGTTTACCTAGGAAGGATTTAAACATTGTAGTTGAATCCAAGGTCCTGGACTTTCCTCTCTGATCTATGCTTCTTGTATTAATAACCACCTATTTCCTACTTCAGGGTGGCTATGACTAAAGATCATGTGAAATAATACTTTCAAGCACAGAAACTGGCACAGAGAAATTTCTCTGTAAATGTAGAGTTCACTTTTCCTTTCCTTTTCTTGAGATCAAGGTACATATTTTATTATTTTTGAATCCCCTGTTGTACTTTGCACGTTACTATGCCATTAGTGGATTAAAGATCTGTATTCACTGAATTCAATTGAAAAGTAATTTAGTGTGAGTAACTTACTTTTATGTTGTTTCTAAAGGGCTTAAAACAGGGTTTGTACTCTCCTCTAGTTGTATAGTATACAAATAATACAATAAAGGTGAAAGCATAAGATGAAAAATGACAAAAGCCAATACCCATTCATGATTTTTAAAAATCTGCATAACAGAGTAAATTTGCTCTGTAAAAAACCTACAAATAACATCATATTTAAGAGTGAAATGTTGAACATTTTCATCCTAAGATCAAGAACAAGGAAAGATTGACTATTTTCATCACTTATTTTAAACATTGTATTGGAGGCTACACAGTGTAATAGGGCAAGAAGAATGAGGCATAAAGTTTGGGAGTAAAAATGTCTTTATTAATATTTAAAATGGTTATCTTCTAAGAAAATTCTAGGAACTCTATTAAAAAAAACTATGAGAACTAATAAGTTAGTTTAGAAAGGTCATAGTAGACCAGTATATAAAAATAAATTGCATTTCTATATGTAGGAATGAACATTTAACAGTAAATTTAAAATACTATGTACAATATCAAGAAAAAATGAAATAATTACAGATAGATTTAACAAAGTATGCATAAGACTTATACATTGAAAATAATAAAATAATGCTGAGTGAAATGAAATGAGATGTAAGAAAATATTGACATGTTTCATGGACATGGATCAGAAGACTACATATTACTAGGAAGTAAATTGTTTATAAATTATCTATAGGTTCAGTACAATTCCAACCAAAATCCCAGCACGATTTTTGTAGGAATCAATAAACTAATTCTAAAACTTATGTGGAAATTCATATGACCTAGAACAGCCAAAACAATTTTGAAAAAGAACAAAGTTGGAAGATTTACACTATCTGATTTCGAGAATCACTCTAGCACAATTTTAGTGGGGCAGAAGAGAAATCTCCATAGAGAATTGAAAAACAGTAGAGAAAATCAATGAACCCAAATGTTGATTCTTTTAAAAGATCAACAAAATTGATAAACCTTTACATATACTGAAAAGCAAAAAGACAATAAAACAACTAAAACAAGACATAAAAGTGAGGACATTATTACTGACCTTATAGAGAGAAAAAGTATTGTAAAAGAATACTATAAAAAATTATATCCCAAAAAATTAGATACTGTATAAGAAATGGGCAAATTCCTTGCAACACACAAATTACCTAAAATGATTCAAGAAGAAATAGAAAATCTTGACAGATCTGTAACAAGTAAAAAGATTTGTAATCTAAAACTTCCCAACAAAGGAAGCTTCTGGATCAGATGGCTTCACCAGTGAATTCCACCAAAATGTAAAGAAAAAAAATATTGTTCTCAAACTCTTCTGAAAACTTGAAGAGAAGGGAAAATTGCCTAACTCATTCTATGAGGCCACCATTACCTTGACACCAAAACCAGATAATTATGTCACAAGAAAAGAAAATTACAGATTAATATCCTTTATAAGTGTAGATATAAAAATTGCCAACAAAATATTTGAAAAGGATTATTCTATGATGAAGTGAAATTCATAAGCAAAATACAAGGATGGTACAATAAGAAAATCAACAAATGTAATACATCACATTAATATAATGTTGGAAAACCCACACACAATCGTCTCACTTGGAGTAGAAAAGGCATTTGATGAAATGCCTTTCATGAGAAAACCTCTCATAAAACTAGGAAGAGGTGGAAAATTCCTCAATATGTAAAGTTTATTTATAAAACACACACAGCTCATTTCATATTCAGTGGTGAAAGATTAAAAGCTTTCCCCCTAAGATCAGGAACTGTATAAGAATGCTTTCTTTCAGTGCTGCTATTCAATATTGTACTAAAAGCTCTAGCTAGAGCTATTAGAAAATAAAAGGAAATAAAATTCATCCAAATTAGAAAAGAAGAGATTAAGGCCGTCTCTATTTTCAGATGACATGATCTTCCTATATAGAAAATCCTCCCAAATCCACAAGAAAGTTACTAGACCTAATAAAGGAATTCAACAAGGTTCAAGATATAACAGCAACCCAAAAAAATCATTGTTGTTTCTGTATAACAGCAATAAACAATATAAAAAGAACATTTAAAAAGCAATTTCATTTATAATGCCACCTAAAATAATTATATACTTTAGAATAAATCTAACCAAGGGGATGAAAGACCTCTATGCTAAAAAATACAAAACATTGCTGAAAGTAATTAAAGACCTAAATAAATGAAAAGACATCTTGTGTTCATGTATTACAAGATTTGAAATTGTTAAGATGTCAGTGCCGCTCAAAGAAATATACAGATTCAATACAATTTCTATCAAAATTCCAACAGTCTTTTTCCCAGAAATGGAAAAATGGATCCTCAAGTTCATATGGAATTTTAAGAGGCCCTGAATAGCCAAAACAACAATGAAAAAGAATAATAAACTTTGAGTGATTATACTTTCCAACTTTGAAACGTACTATGAAGCTACACTAATTAAAACAACATGGGGCCAGGCATGGTAGCTCATGCCTATAATCCTAGCACTTTGGGAGGCCGAGACAGGTGGATCACCTGAGGTCAGGAGCTCGAGACCAGCCTGGCCAATATGGTGAACCTTGTCTCTACTAAAAGTACAAAAGGTAGCCTGGCATGGTGGTATGCGCCTATAGTCCCAGCTACTCGGGAGGCTGAGGCAGAAGAATTGCTTGAACCCAGGAGGCAGAGTTTGCAGTGACCTGAGATCTCACCACTGCACTCCAGCCTGAGTGACAGAGCAAGACTCCATCTTAAAAACAAAACAAAACAAAACTAAAAAACCAATTTATTACCTGGCATAAGAGAAGATATATAGACCAATGGAATCATTCAGAAATAAATGCTCACATATATCACATGTATAGTAAATCAGTTTTCAACATAGACACTAAGAATATTCAGTGGGGAAAGGAATCTTTTCAACATATGATGCTGGAATAACTGGGCATCCACATGCAAAAGAATAAAGTTGAACCCTTACTTTATACCATATACAAACATTAATTCAAAATCAATCAAACACTGAGCCTAAGAGCTAAAACTATACATTTCATGGAAAAAAATTGGAAGAAATCTTCATGACAATTTGGGAATAATTTCATGGATGTGACAAGAAAAGCACAGAAAACAACAAAGTAATAGATTAATTATAGTTCATAAAAATAACTTTTGTGCATCAAAAGGTC